GAATGTTGGCTAGTGCATTCAAACCAAAGCATACTTTGGTGAGCCAGAATGATTTAGCCAGCCACTTGCATTCTCTCATTTTGAAAATGCAGCTATGGGCTATGCTTACCTTTCTGTTAAGCTTGGCGAGTTCTTTCCTGCCTGATTTTATCATCATTTCTCCACTTATACGTTTATTATAATATCAGATAATGGTTAAGCATTATGAAACTGTTACACTGCATCTATTTGCTTTTAAAACTGTAAGTCTTAGAGAATAAGTGTTGTGGTACAATCACACCAAATGATTCAGCTAAAATAAGATGCTATGTAATCTCAACAACATAGAGTATTAGTCTCCATTCTAATTTCATGTTGAGTATCTTCAGAGCAAAAGGAAAGTCTCTTAGTGAAAGCAGTCATTTTCATAAACATGTTCTTCTTAAGGGTATTTATTTTCACTGTATTCTGCAAACATGGATCCTCTCTCCCTTGTTACTCTGCACTGGGCCCTCTTAGGTAGAGGGGTGCTGATATGAGAATGCCCCTCTGTTAAATGGGAGCATAACCTTGTATGGGGGAGGGATTGGCATACATGGACCATTTATTAAGGGAAGATGCCACGCTGTGTGCTCTACATGTGTGATATGACGTTTTCACAATTCTCTATTACAGATTTTATCATTACTGCCTAGCAGAGGAAACATCGGAGCTTAGGGACGGTAAACACCTTGTGGAAATCACAGAATAGGAACCCAATATTCAGAATTCTCCTCCTCCCGCTGTGTGTTTTATGCCTCTTGCCCACTGTGACAGAGCACACAGGCCCCCTTGGAAGGCTTGGCCGCAATATCTTTCTGGGTCAGTCACATTTCAGAGATGAGAACGCACTCTCACCTTTACCTACAGACCTTTCAGAAGGGGAGCATTTGACTTCCACAGCCCGTGGCCCTCACAGTGGCCTTCTGTTGTTCTTTTCAAAGCATTTCCTTAGAGTTGCACTCTTTCTTACTCCGCTGGAAAGCGACGGCGATGTGGTGAAAGGGTTCTAATATTAGCAGCTGCCCTACATCTTTCAAACGCTCCCAACTCTCCTGAATGTAGGTAATTACCAGGACCCTTCCTTGTCTGACTTCTGTTCTGTATTTAGCCAGCTGATTGTAATTATGAAATCTCCACAGCAAGGAACCATTTCTTTACATCTTAAATCTTGGAGCAAAAGTCAGAATAGAGATCCCACAATGCCCCGAAACCTCGCACAATGCCCTGTGCTCTGCACAACACGCCTCACATGTATTTGGGTTTGCCCTTGGGGTGTTAGCATTGTGATCATACAGCAACCCTATGCTTATCATCATCTCTTCTTTTGCTTGCTGTCAACCAAAGAAAAGAATAAACAAAGAATAAAACAACCAAATGATCACACATGTGAGTGGTAGAAAACAGGTAAAATGACAAAACTCAGCTCGGACTTTTAAAAACAGAGTTAAGAAATATAAATAACAGTAATTTACAGGAGACACAAGAAAAAGCAAAAAGGAGGTTAGGAGAGATATCACTTTACAGTTTGAAGTCAATTTGTATTTTTATTCTGCCTGTCTTCGTGGATTTTAATGAAATTATCCAAAGGGTCATGACTGTGCATATACTAAATTACGTGTAAAGGATAATATTTTTCTACTTGAGGGAGGGGCACACCTCATCAACAAGGGTACCTGCATAATCAATATCTGTATACCTAACCCTGAATTGTGCCCCACATCTTAATAATAATAATAATAATAAAAGATTTTTCTACTTAAGCTTCATCTATGAATAAATCCAGTGTTTTTCTATAAGGAACAACTAATTATTTAGGGAACGATCATTGAACCTTGATATTTTTACCTTGCCCTTTTTAGTTAAATGTAAGACAAGATAAAAGAGTTATGTCATCTTATTAGAAAGGTAATGGTAGTCACAGAATCATACTGGGGAGATATTTTGTTTTTCAGGTGGTTATCTGTTTCAACAGAGCTACCACTGGCTCACATTGTCAAAGGAAAATGTGTGTGGAATTATAGCCCTAACTTGGGAAAATTATCTACACTCTAAAAAGTGAAGATATAAACACTATTTTTCCCCCGAAGAATCACTAATGCTAATATTTTCACTAAGATACAATTTACTCAGTTCTTAAAGCCATTGGATGTGCTTCTCAAATGAGGGGAAAGAATCCAAATAGGGTCAATATGTAGTTTCAGCTGAGTGCAACACCTGAAGAGGAACTGTTCAATGGAAGGTGAGCACCCAGTCTACAGCAGGGTGTTCAGTTTGTTTTGTTTTGTTATTCTGGTGTATTTTTAGCAAGGGGTTATTTGAGTGATCCAGCATATGGCTGAGTCCCTGAGAGTTAAAGACTTTCAATCCAGTTGGTGGACCACCTAATTTTTCCTTTCGGTCTTGCTAGTCTGCCCTTTGGTACTCTTATTTTTTATCAGCAACAATCTCATGTCCAGAGAGTATAGGTACAGAAGGAGAGGTGACATTAAAAAAGTCTTAGCCGGGCTCGGTGGCTCAGCCTGTAATCCTGCGCTTTGAGAGTCTGAGGTGAGTGGATTGCCTGAGCCCGCGGGTTTGAGACCTGCCTGGGCAACTTGGCGAGACCTCATCTCTATAATAAATCAAAAAATTAGCTGGATGTGGTAGTGCACGCCTGTAGTTCTAGCTACTTGGAAGGCTGAGGCGGAAGGATCGCTGGAGCCCAGCAGGTCGAGGCTGCGGTGGCCGGGAGCGGCCACTGCACTCCAGTCTGGGCGACAGAGTGAGACTCCAACTCAAAAAAATAAAAAAGTAACTCTTAACTAAGCCGAAGAAGCAACACATTTAAGGATTTTGTGACAAGCTACTCAGTCCTCTCTTATGAGAAATAATTGGCAACTGATCGTGATTATATAATATTTCACTTATTTTATTTTATTTTTGAAACAGGGTCATGCTTTGTTGCCCAGGCAGGAGTGCAGTGGTGCAATCATGGCTCACTGTAGCCTCCAACCCCTGAGCTCAAGCGATTCTCCTGCCTCAGGCTCTGGAGTATCTGGGACAACAGGTCTGGCTAACTATTTTTTGTAGAGACAGGGTCTTGCTATGTTGCCCGGGCTGATCTTGAACTCCTGGCCTTAAATGAGCCTCCTGCCTCAGCCTCCCGGTGCTGGGATGAGCTTCCACACCTGGTCCATTTTTCTTAAATGTCATCAATATTATTACAGGATTCTATTTCCACCCAAGATGTCATCATGTTGACTTTGGTCCTAGGAAAGGATTCTATTACACTGTTTGCATCTGCCCACGTGTCCTGGCCTGGGTTTACCCTGAAGGCTACTAAAGACAGGCACTGGTCTCATTGCATACTCCTGCCTGAGAAATCTTCCTGGTGTCCTCTGCAGCTGGGATTTAAGGAAGAGCCTCAACTCTACTTCTCTCTGCACCTTGCTGGAACAATTTCTAGTTGTTTTCCACAGTGTCTCAGAGGTCCTCAGAGGGACTGAGCCCCTGCTGGCCATGGGTTTAAGTGTCTCATGAACACACCCTTCTGTTTTGTCTTCCTTCTTTTTCTGTCTTACTTTCTTATTCTTTCATTGTGCTTCCTGGATCGCCTTCTAAATAAACTAACTGTGCCCAAGTGTCTCAGAATCTGTTTTATTGTACTTCATTTTTTGGGTGGTGGGGGAGACCCAAAATAAGACAGAAATCAAAAAGTTACCTTATTTTTCTATTTATATAAAATGGCCAGAAAAGGCAAGTTTATAGAAACGCAAAGTAGATAAGTGATTGTCCAAGGCTAGACACGTACCTCTTAATGGGTATAAGAGAGATCTTATTGGGGTAAAGGCCGAAACACTCAATAAGGTTACGAAAACTCTGTATTGTCCACTAAAAATGGTGAATTTTATAATATATAAATACACCTCAATAAAATTGCTTAAAGTTACCTTATTTTCCATGAACATATAGTCAGATCCAGAGAGGTAAATACCCAAGGTTACAGAGCAAATATGCATCAGAGAAATGGACAGAGTTCAGATCACTTGACTACTCTGAAAAACAGCATTCTTCTGTGGATTAATAATCATGTTTGTATGCATTAAAAATTGAAGGTCACAAAAAATTGGAAAAATACTGATTAAACCAAATACCATGCATGGATATAGTCTATGACACTAATCATAATAATTACTTATTTATTGCTTTCTTTTTTTTTGAGTCGGAGTCTCACTCTGTCGCCCAGACTGGAGTGCAGTGGCCGCTCCCGGCCACCGCAGCCTCGACCTGCTGGGCTCCGGCGATCCTTCCGCCTCAGCCTTTCATGTGGCTGGAACTACAGGCACGTGCTACCACACCCGGCTAATTTTTTGATTTATTGTAGAGATGAGGTCTCGCCAAGTTGCCCAGGCGGGTCTCGAACCCGCGGGCTCAGGCAATCCACTCACCTCAGCCTCCCAAAGGCGCGGGATGACAGGCTGAGCCACCGGCCCGGCTTTTATTGCTTTCTTTATGCTAAATGATGAACCTAGATTATCTTGCTTAATTTCACAATGGGCTATAAGGCAGGCATTATTATTACTTTTTAGCTTTAAGACAGTTTTCAATAGATTTAGGGGTACAAACGGTTTTTGATTACAAGGATGCACTATATAGACACTGAACTTTAAGTCACCCCACTATTGCACATTGTACTCGATAGGTACAATCCCTCCCCATTTCTCTTCCCCTCCCACCTGCCCCCCATTTCTGGGTCTCCAGTGTTCATTATACCATTCTATATAAGGCAGGCATTATTATTATTCCCTTCTTATGCAGCGGGAAATGGAGCTTGAGAGAGGGTAAGGGTCTTGTCAGAGGTCACACAACTCGTATGGGGCTGGGTCAAGATCCGACACCAGAGTGCCTGTATGTAACTGCTCTATTAAACTGCTTCTGTGGGTAATGAAGACTGTGTCTCTTCTTACCACTCCAGCACGACCAAAGAAAGTGTTTCGTACCTCACTGTTGAGTTTGTTTATCTGCTGCTTGGTCTCCTCTGCTTTGATGAAGAGAACAGCAGCTCCAATCTCTGGGTCTGAAAAGCGACACACACAGAATGAGTCCTTTAGACATAAAGCTTATATTTGAGGATTGGAGCAACTGGAATATGGAAGGAAGACCAAGACACTGCTTTTGACCTCTTCTGATGTCTGTACACTATAGGTTTTGTCTTCCTGGGATATGACAAGCTTCTTATACTCTTCTGGGTGGACCTGATAGACTCTCTAGGCATACCACATGGTGGTGATTGTGACCACAGTGGTCGCATGTGTCCATGGTAAATCTCCCATATCCCTGGACACAATCACCACCGTGTTCCAAGATGGTACCTCTTGCCTTCTTTCACCATGTCTAAAAACGTCTCCTAGTCAGCGTCCAAGTCACAGCAGAGGGCTGCTCCTTTTCTCCTCTACTTCCTTTTCAAACATGGATTCCTGTGCCCCCAAGCACATTTTCTCCCCACTCTGCTTCAGGTACCAATCTCCACTGCAGACTTCCTGTCTCTTCCTGTGTCACTCTAAATGGCAATTTCTCTCATTTTGTAGTTCTCTCTTGTCCACTTTTTTTTTCTACTTTACTCTTATGAATACATTCATTTTTGTCAGGAACAAAAGTACAGATAAGTCAGAGCCAGCTAAGTGGGAAAGATTTGACACAATATGATATGATCACCCTAATTCTGGTCAATTATGAGCAGAAAACTTGTTTGTGGAAGAAGAAAAAGTCATTTAAAGCAGTCCAAAACAGAGTCATAAGAGCTTATTTTGCAGAGATGATCCATTCATTCAATGAATGATTGAAGTTCATACACAATAGGCCAGTCCTCTTTTAGCAGAGAAAGGAAAGAAAAAATAGGAATGATTGACACTCTTGGAGCTTAGACTCTAACAGAGAAAATAAACATTTTAAAAAGTAATCATGCAATAGGTTTGAATTCCATACTAAAAACAATAGGACACATTTTAGTATTTTATGCATAAGAGTAGAACAATGAAAATAAATGTGCATTTAAAAAAGTCTACACTGCATAGAAACCATGTGAGCACAGTGAAGAGACTTTGGTAGTAATGTAGGTAAGAATGGATGTGATGGCGGTAATGACAATTGTGAACGGAACTGACAGAGGCAATGGAGGTTGAGTACAGAAAGCTTGTGCTCTAATGGATGCACATTGGGGTAGGAAACACCATCAGGGAGAGGAGAAAGCCAAGAGAAAGCCAAAAATAGGTGAACGGCCGGGCTCGGTGGCTCAGCCTGTAATCCCATGCCTTTGGGAGGCTGAGGTGAGTGGATTGCCCGAGCCCGCGGGTTCAAGACCTGCCTGGGCAGGCGAGACCTCATCTCTACAGTAACATCAAAAAATCAGCCGGGTGTGGTAGCGTGTGCCTGTAATTCCGGCTACTCAGAAGGCTGAGGCGGAAGGATCGCTAGAGCCCAGCAGGTCGAGGTTGCGGTGGCCGGGAGCGGCCACTGCACTCCAGTTTGGGTGACAGAGTGAGGCTCCAACTCAAAAAAAAAAAATAAAAAGTAGGTGAATGGAAATGGTGAGGTTCTCGTTTGCAGATGAACCAAAAAGGAAGACGTCCAACCGAGACACACCACCAGTTTTCACTGTACATACAACAATTTGACCATAGCCATGATCTCTTTGACCCTTGCCCCAAGGGAGAGCAATATCAATATATGTAAATCAATCGAATTAATACACCAAGGTCACACTCCTCCTCTCTCAGTCAGGGAGTCTTACAAGGACCTTTCGGTTTCCTCAGACGATGGTGAGTGCTGGAAAGGGTTAATTTAGATGAAATACTGGTTTCTACTCAACAGAGAAACCCCAGAACCATACATCCAAATGCTTCTCTTGGACTTTGAATTTGTTCATAAAGAGATTTGCTAATTAACAGAAGAGCCTAACACAAGGATGTTAGGACTTGGTGGGAAGAGGAGAGGGTGGGTGGGGATCACTGGTCTTGCCTCTGGTAGTTTGCTGGTTATTGTTTTGTATTGCCTCTGCCTACTTAACAGCCATTCACTACTCTTTTTTTTTTTTTGAGTTGGAGTCTCACTCTGTTGCCCAGACTAGAGTGCAGTGGCCGCTCCCGGCCACCGCAGCCTCGACCTGCTGGGCTCCGGCGATCCCTCTGCCTCAGCCTTCCCAGTAGCCGGAATTCCAGGCGCGCGCTACCACGCCCGACTGATTTTTTTATTTATTGTAGAGATGAGGTCTCACTGACCAGGCAGGTCTCGAACCCGTGGGCTCAGGCAATCCACTCACCTCAGCCTCCCAAAGGCGCGGGATGACAGGCTGAGCCACCGAGCCCGGCTCATCTACTACTCTTTATTAAATACAGGCATGTCTCCTTTAAAGCTAATTGGTCATTTCTAGTCTTCATCATGTTGACAAATTCTTCAAGATTGAAAAGGCAAGAGGGACTTGGGCTTGGGTTGGAGTTACCCTTACATTAAATCACCATCACTAAAGGTTAGTGTTTCATAGAGTTCTCCATCATTTTCAACATCCTTCCACCCTTCTGAAGCTGCTTATTCTCTGACAAACAGCAAGTACATACCTCCCACCAAATAAATTGGTTCAACATAACCAGTGTTCCTGGAGTGCACACCTACATAGCATTTCCTCTAGGTAATGTTGTTCTGGATTATTTGAAATTTGTAATAGGAACACATGGACACCCTCTGATTATAGCAGAAAGCTGAGTTGCTTGACACACCACTTACCTTAGGTGTTATGTAGCAGGACTTCTAGATCAGATATAGGAATATTGGCAAACGATATCTTAGGAACTTAAAGCTGGAACAAATTCTAGTCAAATTCATAAAGTGCTATCACATGGAGACTATTCTGAGAACAGGAAGGCAAAACATTTGCCAACGCCAAACATTACAATTCATTGAAAAGAAATATTGCCCCTTGAGAGAAGACTAAATATTGTGCTTACCTCCAAGGGGAGGAGAAATTCTGGCCTCTGTTCTGATTCGTTCAGAGCCAAAATCAAAAGTCTGACTTTCTTCACTGCTGTTTCCATCTTCAATTCCATCAACAATCCTATTAAGAGGAAGGAAATTTGTTGGTTGTGTATTTATACTCATGGATTATAGTATTTCTAGAAGACTTTTAAAAATGTTGTGCTAAATTTCTAAATTCTAAATATAAGTTGGGACTCGCCCCACCCACCCAAAAAACCCCAGAATTATCTTTTGGCGGGCAGGCACCTTGTAGAACAGGCTTTCCTCGCTAGCTAAGTGTTCTTGGAAACCACTTGCATTCGTGTACCAGCTAGCGTTGTTGTGAGAGACTGCATTCTGCTTCAGTGAAATTGTTTTTGGAGATTCTTTCAGTGTGTTTGCCCATTTCATGATGGGTGATTAATGAGTGCGCTTGTTCACACCACACTGAGTGTTCAGCAGTTTTTGACCCGAATGGCACAACCCCCATGCCCCACCCTTCCTATTCACCCAGTCTTGCCCTGAGAAATTTTCTTCTTGTTTCCCTGGATGAAAAAAGTCCTCAGAGGAAAATACTTTGCCGATGTGGAAGAGGTGAAACAAAAAACAGCAGAAGCACTCAAAGGTATCACAACGGACACATTCAAAAACTGTTTTGAGCAGCAGAAAAAGAGTCTTGATAGATGTGCCAAGTCAAATGGAGAGTACTTGGAAGGTGACTGAAGTTGAAACACGTAAGAATAAACACACAACTTTTTTTTTTTTTTTTTTTAAGTTGGAGTCTCATCTGTCGCCCAGACTGGAGTGCAGTGGCCACTGCCGGCCACCGCAGCCTCGATCTGCTGGGCTCCGGAGATCCTTCCGCCTCAGCCTTCCCAGTAGCCAGAATTACAGGCATGCGCTACCACACCCGGTTGATTTTTTTATTTATTGTAGAGATGAGGTCTTGCTGCCCAGGCGGGTCTCAAACCTGCGGGCTCAGGCAATCCACTCACCTCGGCCTCCCAAAGGCGCGGGATTACAGGCTGAGCCACCGAGCCTGGCTACAACTTTTTTAAGAAATAAATTCTGGGGTTTTATTGAGTCTCCCCCTGGCCCCCATACTCTGGAGCTGTGCTATTCAATATGCAACCATTATCCTTACATGGCCATTGAGTACCTGAAATGTGGTTCCTGCAAATTGAGATGTGCTGTCAGAACGAAGTACACAGTGGGTTTTGAAGAGTTTGTAAAACAACACCACCAAAAACAAAACAAAACAACCCCCCCAAATTATTTCGTTAATTATTTTTCTATTACCCACATTTAAAATATTTGGAATATATTGGGTCAAATAAAATATGTTATTGAAATTTCACTGTTTTTTGCACATTAAAAATGTAGCTACTAGAAAATTTAAAATTACATATGAGATTCACAATTTTAGCTCACACTATATTACTACCCAATCACAATGCTGTAGGTCAAGGCTCTTCTATTTATTCTCAGATTAAAAACTTTAAGAAACAGAAGTCCTTCCACCTAAATTTATATTAAATCACCATTCTACCCAAGAAAAAAATGTTTTAATGTAATGGTCAATGTTCATCATTAACATCATAGAAAATAAATTTGATGACACCTCCACTCTAGACGGGCAAAATTCTAAATGTGAGAGTTAAATAATTATATTTAAATTACTATCAGGACTTTAGTCTTCTTTCCTTGGTAAATAATATCTAATTCACTCATTATTGAAACAAAATACAAGTTTATTGAGAAATTTTAAACAGATAACAAAAAAGTCAGAAAATAAAAATCACCTGTGACCTACTGCTACAGTCAATATTTTGGTGTATGTCCTCAAAATCTTTTCCTGTATATAAAAGAATATATATTCTTTACAAATGTAGGAACGTATTGTACCTAACTTTTTTTTCCTAGCTCCAATACAATCTCCTCCTATTTACAATTTATTATTTTTAATTTTAGTATAAGTTTAGAAAAAAACCTTTTTTTTTTGAGTTGGAACCTCACTTTGTCGCTCAGACTGGAGTGCAGTGGCCGCTCTCGGCCACCGCAGCCTCGACCTGCTGGGCTCTGGTGATCCTTCCGCCTCAGCCTTCCGAGTAGCTGGAAGTACAGGTGCACGCTACCACACCGGGCTGATTTTTTTATTTGTTGTAGAGATGAGGTCTCGCCAAGTTGCCCAGGGGGGGTCTCAAACCCGCGGGCTCAGGCAATCCACTCACCTCGGCCTCCCAAAGCATAGGATTACAGGCTGAGCCACCAAGCCTGGCTGACAAAAACTTTTCAAAGTACCATCTTCAACTGAATTCTTGAAAATTTGCCTTCCGCCTACTTTTCACTAACTGTCCTTGCTTATTTTTTCTTAATAGTCTCTTTTAATGGGTAAGTATGTTCTTCAGATGAATGAACAAATATACAGTGTATCAGCAAGATCACTTGTTTTTCAAGTAGAAAAACAGACGTGGAGCATTGCTTTTAGTACTCAATATCTCTGAGATCTTGGACAGAGTATTTAACTTTTTGAGTTTCAGTTCTTACAATTTTATAATAGAGATAAAATGGATAACTTTTTGGGATTCTAAGAAGGGTAAATGCAATAGGAAATGTGAAATGATCTAGCAAAGTACATGAAACATAGAAAGCACTCAATATTTTCCCTTGTTTTTATTTATCAATCAGCTACTATATAATTTTGCTGTGGCTTTTATGCACTGTAGCTGACCTCTTTCTCTTTTTCCAAGTCAGGATTTTTTAACCCTTTCAATCACCTTTACTTGATTCTAAAGTGATTTTTCAGAACTAAAAATAGGGCCGTGTCATGTTACCTGTTGAAGAGTTCAGAAATAAAACTAAGCTTCAGTCACCCACAGTGATAAGACAAATGCAATGTAGAAAATGAAAACCAGCATTTCATTGCCTGCATCGTTTCCATTCTTTGCTCCATGAAACTTTTGGTGAGATCAGGCTTCGAGGGATTAGCATTCGTAATGTTTGTTCCAACTCTTTTATTATCATTATGAATGTACACATTACAAAACTACAACGCAGAAATACGCATTTAACGTAATAAGTAGAGCCAGATGAATGAAAGAGTGGAGAAAGACTTCTGAACACTTAAAAGACCCTCTTGAGAACATGGACTAAAATGATTAATTCCCACTCTGCACACATACTTGCCCATATACTCAAAAAATCGGCACGAAATTCTAGAAATCTGAAGAATTCAACCTAGGAAAGGCCCAGAAGGCCGAATAATCTCCTAGGCAGGTACTAGACTACACAAAAGGCAGCTACTTTCACCTAAGAAAGGGTTTTATGACATGACATTTTACCTTGGACTGAGGTCTGGGGGTCCAGCGCTATTCAGAGTTTTAAGTTGCAGTTTCAAGTTCTTCTCTCTCCTTTTACCATGGTTGGGCGGGTCAGCTTCCGGTTTGGCTTTGGGGGAATTGGAATTGGAGACTCGGATAGGTGAGTGAAATGGCACCGTTCCCGAGGCCAGTTGCTTTAAGCTTAGGCCTAGATAGCTTTTATTGCTTCCAACCTTCTTGCTGCGCGAAGAGGAAGATCCCCTTGTGTAGATGGGAGAGAGGGAGGCTGTCTCCTCTTCCTCCCCATCCTCATCCTCTTCCTCGTCTTCCACGATGGACGGGAGTCTCTTGTTGATGCTACCATTTCCCTTGGGCTCTGACTAAAACAGAGGATAATGCAGATTAGTACAGACTGTAAAAGCCTTCCAAGAGGCACATCATTCATGCTGGAGGGCCCAGTGGAACAAAGTCAAGTCTTCCAGGGACTTGACTTTTCACTAAAACTGACGTCTTTGCAGATTTTGCCATTATTTTTTCAGGGGTTAAGAGTCTTTACACTTCCGATATTCCCCCACGTGACCCTCCTGCTTTCTTGATTTTAACCTCCAACCCTTCTCTTGGTCTTTTAAACTGTCTTGGTGGAGATCTGTGTGAAAGGTGCATGTGACCAGTCTTGTATCTAGATTTTAATCACCCTGCGATGGTATATGATGGTGTGCTCTTAGGAACAAAGACACAATTTTAATGGGGGGAGGGGTCTAAGGCCTTGTTATTTAAAAGTACGTGATCCACCAGAAAAATTACTTTATCCTTGAGAATAAAAACCTTTTCTATTTTGGATCACATCAATGGAAGATCAGACGTGTCCTCAGCTACTCTGCTTCCTGCTCCCTTTGTTCCCACAAGTCACTGGAAATGAAACCAACCACCTGGTCTGCTCCCTTTGAGGAACTTTGTGGAAGGAAGGAAATATAGTCTTGCCAAAAGCCATCCTAGCACCCGCGGACTCCTGACTGGGATCATTCAACTTTGCAGGCCAAGAAGAAGAAAGAGAGAGGATGGCAAAGGATGGCTGAGTGATGATGGGGAGACAGGGCAGTGAAGGCATACAAGGCTGACTCAACAGAGTCGCCCCAACAGGGTGGGCTTCTTGCTCTGCGCCAGACATGGCTTCTCTGCCCAAAAGGACCATTCATTTGTCAGTGCTCATGTTTCTTTTGACGACACGATCGTTTATACCTTCTCATTAATGACTTCTTTTGAAATGCAGACCACAGACTGAAAATCCCTAAGATTACTATTTAAATCTCATGAGCTGTCATGGTTCTGACTTCAGAGAACAGTTGGTTCATGGGTGTACATGGATTTTGCTCTATTTATTACAGGTATAATAATAGATCTAACAAAAAACTGTGGTGACTTACAGGCAAAAGCCTATTTGGTTTAGGCCATAGGCGCCAAGTGAAATATTTGATTTACTCATAAAGTGGTTTTTCTTTGGCATTTTAATCTTAATGGCTCAATATTTCTTGAGGAAATGGCATTTCTAGACTCATCTTTCCAAATCCATGTGCTTATTTTAATTAATGATGAAGCTATACATTCTTAATAGAGATAGTCACAATGTTGCTTTCATGTGTTTGTTTTTTGTCTTTCACAGCATTTAAAATGATGTGCTTTTAACAAAAATTGGGCCCACATGGCATTGCAGGGAAACATTTGTAAACTAGCATTGTGGAATAGAAAAATTAGTTTACTCAACTAAAGACACAACAGGGCAAACTTATCACAGAAATGAGAAACAAGGAGCACATTCTCTAATTAGAATTCAGTGTACATGTATATTGGCAAGTTAATCATTCCTTTGTTTCAAGAAGCCTCCATCAGCTTTAATAGCAGCTTCTGGCTAATAACCCATCACGTATTTGTACTTCTTCAAGTTTGTCTAAATTTCATGCGTCCATTTTGTCATTAGAGATCTGGTTCCTCCCTGCTTAGATACTGACTCTTGCAATCAAGGCACAGACGTTGCATATACTAAGAATGAATTACTCCACCTACCATCATTGGGGCCATCATCATGGGACCTAAATTTATTAGATTATTAGACACCTGGTCTCACGTTATCCTTTGCGAGAAGTGCTGGCTGCCTTTTTCGGGCCGTCTATATACAAACACCTGCTTCTGCCACGCAACGGGATTCACCTATTATATGCACAGCTCTCTCCTTTCTCAGCTGATCTATCCCTTCATTCTCTTCCTGGCTAGTGCTTTCAGGAGGGCAATGAAGCTCTTATGCTCATAGTTAAAGGAATCTGGAATTGGGCTCATGACACTTTGCTGCTTCAAACTCCCACATGACTAGATTCCATCGAACCTGTCTTGACTAACAAAGACAGAGAAAAAAATCTAGTGGTTGAATGCACGAACTTTCCATTACACGGTGCTAAAAGTCCTGCGACTTACTAGCTGTAGCTTTGGTCACGTAATATGATGATTAGGTCTTGGTTTTCTCACCGGTAATTTAGGAATGGTGTGAGGTGGATATTAGATGTGCACTTAGCAATGTGCAAAGAAAGGTTTTAATAAATGCTTGCCCACGCAGTGATGATGATTGTAAAGAAAATGAAAGCCTTGTATATGACAGGTGCTATGGAGAGTGTCCGTTACCTCTTTTTATGTAACCTCTCCTTCTCTCTTAGTCAACAGAACTCTTAGCAATGCATGCTGCCCAAAGATCACCTTTCTCAGTTTCCCCTGCCATCGGGTCTGGCCAGGAGGCTACGTTATGGGATGATGGCCTATACAGGACCAGGTTTTAGGGAAGTTTTAGGAAGGTTCCTAGAAACAGAAGCCCCTCTCACTCTTTCCTCTGTCTTTGGTTTCTAGTCTAAGATATGGATTGAAATGAATGTGTGTCCAGCAGCCAGCTTGGGGAATGAAGAGCTCTTGGGTAAAGGAAGCTGTGTGTTAAGGACGATGAAGTTAAAACGAAGAATCTGAGACCCTACTGATGAACTGAAGCTGTCATAGTTTCCTCTCTGGACTTGCCAATGAGAGAGAAATAAACATCTATTATCCTGAGACTCCTGTTATTCTGGTGGTTTTAAATTTGCTAATTAACTTCAGGCTACATTAAATAGAAGGGTTTTGGGGGAAAAGTTTAGGATGTATATTGGGGAGGAATGTTCATCTTCAGAGTGCTGTGAAAGGATGAGGAATTAAAATAAAAGAATTTGTTAAAGGCTAAATTTCATTTACTATCAAAGGGAGTACAGAGATCTCAGGAAAGGGCAGTAGTGAGGAAAGACTGATGAGAAAAGTTGGAAGAGAAAGACCATTTTCCTTGTGGTCTTTTATAGAGGCAAGGTGGAAAAAGCAACAAGGGCCAGAGAGAAACTTAATCGAAAACAATGAGATGCTTTGAGAACTTTTAAGAACTTTTTCAGTGTAATATTCATTGTAAACCCTGTTTATGCCTCTACGATCCTCTTCAGTAAATTACCAGTGTCGTCATAAGGTGTTACACAATTGGGTCTATTAGCGTGTTCCTGCATCACAGAATTATTAGTAATAAAAGTCCGGCTAATATATTTGACACATCACTGTTTCTTTGGGAAATTTTTCTGTGAAATTGAAGGGTACTTGAAAGCTAGATACCTATAAACCATGTTTTTAACATTATGGGTAATTTCAAGGACTTGGATACTCACAAGAAAAAAACTGACTACTGCTTTGAAACACAATGAAAGTACTTTCAAGATTAACATCTCAGGACTTTGCTACTTTTGCCAGGTTTGGGTAACAAATTGCTTTATAATAATAACTATAAAATCCAAACATTGCAATATGAGTTTCAATACTTCTCTATATCCAAACGCAAGCACGTCAGTTGCCACATCTTTCACTGGAAAGTGAATCAGGGAAAGCAAAAAATAAATACATGAAATTCTGAACAGGAAGACAGATGTTTTGGAAATACTCCAGATTTTAGATAAATATTGTGCTCTTTAGCAAAAGCCATACCTGTGAGACTGTAGATTTGTTCGATAATCTTGATATCACCTGAAAGAACAAATAGAAGTTTTAACAATCATTTAAGCCTCTCCTGGTGGTTTCAGACTGAAGGGAACGTCAGAGGTCGTGAAAAGAGAAGAATGTAGAGTGTGTATGGGAGGGACAGAGCACGGAATCGGATATGATCTACCTGTGTGGGTTACAGAAGAGGAAATACCTTCTACCAGGTGCCAAGAACTAGGACTCACTACTAGGACCACTGCTGGCCAGAGTGTGTCATGAGACAAGGAGCAGCCAGTGGAATGTCTCCCACAGGAAACCATACGTGGGAAATAATGGCCACAGGAGTGGACTTATTGGCTCTACTTTCCACCTTGATGCTTCATGCTCTTTCTTACTTCTCTTTCCTGCTCTTCTGCTAAATTCTCTCATCTTCTCTGATTTTTCTCTCTGGTTCTGTAAAAATAGGAATGTATGGACTCTTTTCTTATTTAATCTCATTACCTTCTATTTCTCCACCCCACCCCTCATTTTTTCTTGAGTGCCGGTAGGCGGGATGTTTCCTTCCAGATGTTTTACACTGTACTCACTGTGGTGCTCCTTGTGGATTAGGACTAAGTTGACTGGGAATCCCAAACCCCTATTTAATGGAATCTAAGATCCTACTGATTGCAAAAATAGACACTGCTCACCAAACTGTGACATGGCATTAATTGTAAGACACATCTGTTGTATATCTCAGAACCACGTAAGCTTGGAACTCAGGGCACATCTTGTATAAAATTTAACTACAGTGCTGTGGAGGAGTGTATTAAAAACACGTGCCTTCCATGATGTACAAAGACGCTCTGGAAATGATGACATGTCCTGGAAACAAGCGACTGATAATATCCACATTGTTGTTTGCTCAAATACACTTCTTTCATTTTAATATGGTAATAATGCTATAAATTAACATAATTTTATTCACATGAAAAAATTTGCACTTGAAAATGATCTGCCTAGTAAGCCAGACATATCTGGCAATTCATCACCCTCTCCTTGTTTTTTTTTTTCTAGATGATTAGGGAAATAGATCTGTTATTATTTTATACAAATGCCGGCATCATTATTGCTGTGCAAATATATGTTTCATCAATGTTTAATTTTATAAAAGCCATCAACTCATTCTGCATCTGCTTAGTTGCCTAAATATGCATTAATCAGAAGCATTGTAGACATAAGTTTTGGGATGATTCCCTAAACAGTGACAAATAAAACAGCTGAATAATTAAAAATGTGAAAAATAAAACAAAATGATGGTGTTCTTGTTACTCTGGTAGACACGAAAACATGTTTTAAAAAACTCTTCAATTACAGATTGGGTTAGAGAGAGAGCATCACCATGGGATTCAGGAGATTGAATGCCTCCAGGCCAAAGATGCTCTTACAGGTGTAAGAGACAAATGCTGTCCTTGGCCTCCTCTGATTTGGGTGTGCTTCCAGCTCCCTGGTTTACTACTAGATGAATTCTTCAAGTTGCTGGGTCCCAAGGTTGCTTTGCTAACCCTTCTCAAGCATATATGTTCACGTCAATCACTCACTTAGAGATTTTGTTAAAATGCAAGTTCTCACTCTGGAGAACTGGAGTGGGGCTTGAGATTCCGAATTTCCAGCTGGCTTCCAGGCAATACTGACACTATTGACCCAGGAGACACACTTTGGATAGCAACATCTCATAACCAGCACCAGTTATCATTATCCTCTCCTGTGTCAATTAATCAAATCACGTGACAAGCACTTTGAGAAGTATTTCTCGGGCATTATGTGGATTTGTTCTCATTGTGATGCTGTGAGGCAGGTATTTTCCACTTTGCAGAAGAGAAACAAAATGGCCTAGGCAGAGTTAAGTGATTTGGTCATGGGTGCAAGATAGTAAGAGACCAAACTAGAAAATGAACACAGTATTGGCTGTAAGAGGTTTAAATTCAATAATATATTTTAAAATATTTGTCATGCAATATATTTTTCTTTCTTTTATTTTTGATGTCTGATTACTCAAAGTAACCCTATCTCACCTTTTGCCAAACTCACTAATAGTTAAGAGTCAAGCAGAATCAAGTATATTATATATACACAGACACACATATATATCATTGCATATAATGCGATATATGATTAATAATTTCCCAGCACTGTGATTAACTCTCTGAATCATTTCATTTACATATAGCATTAATCATTTATGTTAAAAAGGGTACTATTTTATGTATATTCATTTTGATGACTAACCCTTCATATTGATCCAGATTCTGCTGAGTCCAGAGAATATTAGTTTGATGGGAACTCAGCATTGAAGCTAGAAGTGACCCTACAGTGTCTACTGTGATGATTTCTCTACTTGGCAGAGAATAGAGTGTCTTGAGATGCTTTCTTTAACCCTCTTCTCATTTTCCCTGAGAATACTCGCTAGCAGTGCCTGTGCCTGTAGCATTTACCCCAAGATAACTTGTGGATTACCCCCAAAGTTTGCCACAAAATATCTGCTATATTATTATTTTCACATTGCTCTCATATGTCAATAGTTTTGGGGAACAAATGACATCATTCTATTTACAACATTCTGTGTTTAGTAGTGGTATTTCCGTGTGATGTTCCGCTTTGTGTTGCTCTATGCTTTGAATCTTACCATACCAAAAACATTATCAAGCACTGATCATGACATGCATCTGTTTCATTAAGATTAGAGACAGGTTCTGTTTAGAAATAACTCCAAGAACAGTCTTCCTATTTTATTTTCTCATTGACAACTAGTCAGATTTGATTCAACTTGAAAAAGCGTGTTTATATAAAATAAAATGTATGTGGCAGCGAGCTGCATTTTTTTTTTCTAGATGGGAGAGGGGTTAAAAAAATAAGATTTCAGCATGGCACCTTCAGTGAGTCTCTTTCAGTTGGTGGTGGGTGGAGCCCAGTGATTTAGAAATTTTCAAAGGTCCCCAGGTCAGAGTTGAAGCCAGAGTTAGTCCAACACTTTGACTTCAGTGATGTGGCCCAGGGAGGTGAGATTTCTGACCTGCTTCATCCACCAACTTGGCAACAGACCCTTGACCACAGGGCATGTATCCTGACTCCCAGGGTTCTTTGCAGGAACCATAAGCTCTGTGAGTTGCTTCTTCCAGCAGCAAATGCTATTTCTTGGGCTGAAAGAATATATATATCTGCTGTATTATGGAATTTAATTCAGCACAGGTTTTTAATTTAATTTTGTTTTTATGAACAGAGTTTAACTGAGCAAAGAATTCATGAACAGGGAAGCCTTTCGAACCAGAGCAGAGTCAGAGAGACTTCAGGCTCAGAGAGTCTCCCGAATGACCAGTGATGGAAAGGAAAGTGACTCACAGAAACCGGAAGTGAGGGACAGAAATGACCAGACAGCCAGGCTGGGTACAGCTCAGCATCGGCCTTATTTGAACCTGGTTGGAACAGCTGGGCACTTTTGATTGGCCAAAACTTGGTGACTGGCACAAGAGTAGATTAGTCTGTCTACACATATCCAGTTAGGTGACAGGTCACTACGTGAACAGTTACAAACACTAAGTATGCAAGGGCTAGCCTTGGACCAAACTTCTAAATTAACAATTCCCTTCTTTTGGTCACCCTCTAAAGTTTGAGAGATAGACCAAAATTTTAGGCATTGATGCCACTTTGTCACTATCATAAATGTACTTGGTCTCAAATCCTACTAGGAAGTGGTGGAACAGTGGATTTTGTAAGGTGGAAACAAGAGCTTTAGGTGACTCTTTTGTAAGCGATTTATTAGAGGGCAACTTTTTGTGTTGGAATCTCCCGTTTATAGGGGAAAAACCAGACCCAGCCTGTTTTAGGACCTACCTGCTTTCTTAATGTTTCGGTTTGATTATGTCACGTTTAGCACGAGGGACTCTATTTTGGTATTGTTTGTCTGTTGGGGCCTAGCAGCATGGGGTTTTAATGATTGTGGTAAAGCAAATCCCAAAAGTTCATGATACTGGCTTACTCAAACATTGCCTTAACCTTTCTGGGTCACAGGTTTTTCTGGAAATCTGACGCATTATAGCATTCTCTCCTGGGGGGCGGGGGAATGCATGTATACAACTTTCAGGTGAAAGGTTGATGCCATTTCCTGGTTCCAGCAACTAGAAGAGAATGCAAAGGTCTTAAAAGTTTTGGGAAGGGTAATCTTATGCACTAAGTTTCCTCCACATAAAATTTTTATACCCTTTCGATCAGCGGTCCCCAATTTTTGGGTATCAGGGACTGTTTTCATGGAAAACCAATTTCCCATGGATGTGGGGGTGGAATTCACCAGTCACATACACAGTTCATGGTAGGGTTTGCACATGCATGAGAATCTTATTCCGCCACTGATGTGACAGAAGGTGGAGCTCTGCTTGCCTGCTGGCTCACCTTCTGGGCTGTGTGGTCCCGCTCCTAACAGACCATGGCCCAGTACTGGTCTGTGGCTCAGGGGTTGGAGACTGCTGCTTTAGACAAGAAGAACTTGTGGTCATCTCTAATGGAGATAATTTTTTTTAGGGCTAGAGTTATAGAAGCTGGCAAAATAGAAAGGAAGTAAACCAGACAGAAGAGAAGAAATAGAGGTCATTGAAATAAAGTCTCGGGGTGGGTGGAGGAATGAAAGCAAATTGCTTAATGGGTGCAATGTGCATTATTCAACTGATAGATACAATAAAAGCCTTGATTCAACACTACACAATATATCCAAGTAGTACAATTACACTTGCATGGCATGAATTTTTACAAATAAAAAATGAAGTCTTAGCTGGGCTCGGTGGCTCAGCCTGTAATCCTGCACCTTTGGGAGGCTGAGGTGAGTGGATTGCCTGAGCCCGCGGGTTCGAGACCTGCCTGGGCAGGCGAGACCTCATCTCTACAATAAATCAAAAAAGTTAGCTGGGCGTAGTAGCGCACGCCTGTAATTCTGACTACTCGGAAGGCTGAGGCGGAAGGATCGCCGGAGCCCAGCAGGTCAAGGCTGCGGTGGCCGGGAGCGGCTACTGCACTCC